ATGTGAACCCGCAAGGACTACCTTTATCAATTATTTTACGTGCAGCTTGTGTCATGTCTGTATTGTTAGAATGATACTCTAGCAACTGTACCCATCGAAATTTATGACCGAAAGATCAATCCTCGGGTTAAAAATGATGGATTACATTAGGTACGTCTATTCGACAAATAGGTTAATTGATTTATCATCCAATAGTAGCTTAGCTAGGAGTCCATTGCAATAACATTGAGTTACGAGTTACCGAAGAGAGCTCTGTGCAACCGGACCCTGAAATTATGTCGATTTGCATTGGAGGTTTACTTAATTTGATAAGGAGCACATGGCCGTTTCCTTGAAACAAACGAGACAATTCAATCGTATTTATACATTATATTTTGACGAAGAATTCAAATACAACAGATGAGTGACAGATCTCCCTTGCAATGTAAAAGGAAAAAAACCAGTCGTCAGCAAAGGCAGCATAGATTTTACATGCATGGGAAAGGAGAATACCTAATACATAACATTATATACAATGCTTTTATTAATATCAAAAGAGGGGCGTGGATATTCTTGACCTACATTGCATTTACTATTAGATATTGTGTATTCTCGATCTCTGTGAACTTCTCACAGATAAATAAATAATAATAAATAAATGCAAACCATGTTAACTTATGCAATATTTGTAGCAATGTATGATTAACATATGGATCATTAAAATAACAAAGTATTTCCTTTCATAGGAAGAAGTATATTTAATGAAATAAATGAATAAAAGTAACTGTCTGGATTCCTTTCATATGTCATGAAGAACTAACAACAACTTACTGACAACTTTTGCTGGGATATTAACTGCTTGCCCCAACAACAAAAACAGAATCCATCATGATAACGGCACAAAATCATAATTCAAAGCATACACAAATAATATCCGGTATCTTCGGGCATGTCTTGTTGAGTTTCAAAGAGCATCAGAATGTATGATAAATTTGTTGCAATCAATCATTGCTGAAATATATCTGTTTTGATCAAAATTGAAAGGATGGAAAATCTATAATGAAAAGGTTTTTGTCACTAACGTAAATATTCTCTTTGACCTTATACGAAGAGTATTCTAAGATCATTAAACTCGGCAATCGTTGGTGGATTGCGCCAAGCAACCTTTATACCAAATTTGGTACCTCACGTGTAATGCGGTACATAATTTTCGAAACAGATAATTACGTTTTTCATAAGTTATCACTAATTTGTGACATATATACGGACCAAAATTACCTCAGAGGATAATCTTCTCTGGAGGTTTAAGAGGATTAAAATATTTCCAGCTAACATCAAGCACTGTAATAAAATATTGAAATTATAGCATACCTTCTTAACATTCCAATGAAAGGAATAGTGACTAACTAAGAAACCAAATTATATTTATCTCCGATACTCTGCCCTCATCAGCACACACACACACACACACACACACACACACACACACACAGGTATGTATGTGTGTGTGTGTTTATGCATGAATGTATGTATGTATGTATGTATGTGTGTGTTTATGTATGTATGTATGTATGTATGTATGTATGTGCGCGCATGTAGGTGTGTATGTAATGAGCTGTGAGCTCTATGTGAGAAAAAAGTGATAAGGGTAGGCAATTAGAACTAGGTTAAAAAATCGGAGCAAAATATAATTTGACTTTTTGGTAAGTCACCAGTCATTTCATTGGAATTTTACGAGAGTATGTTATTACAGTGCTTGATGTTAGCCCAAATTACTTTAAACCTCTTAATCGTTCAGAGGAGGTTATGTTTTCAGGGGATTATTGTACGTATATATTCGTATCAAGGTTTCTTGGCGCAATCCATCAACGATTGTCGAGATTAATGATCTTCAAGTACGTTTCAAGGTCAAAGAGAAAATTTACTTTAGTGACAAACATATTTTCATTATAAATTTTCAATTCCTTTCTATTTGGATACAAGCAGATATATTTCAGCAATTGATTGCAAGAAATTTATGATAATTCGTATACTCTTTGAAACTGTACAAAAGTTATCCGAAGATACCGGATGTTATTTGTGTATGCACGTGATCTGTCAACTCATTTGTTGTATTTGAATTCTTCATCAAAATTAAATGAATTGTATAAATATGATTAAATTCCCTCGTTTGTTTCAAGAAAAGGATCATGTACTCCTTATCAACTCATATAGCATTTCCACTGCAAATCGACACACTGGTTGACCAGCCTGTGTTTGTACCCTTCGTCATCACTCGTTCAGTCGTGTCGAACTGGTCAACATACTGTTGAAGCAAGTCATGGAAAAAACATCTTGAATAGCCTTTTAAGAGTAGTGAACAATATGTCACAATTAAGTTATTTGTCGAATATACGGTTGTGTAACCCATCATTTTGAACCCGAGGATGGATCTTTCAGTCATGTAAATTTATCGATGTTGACACCACCCTTTAATGACGATTGTACGATAAAGCCTATACCAACCATCCCTAACTTAACAGTTTTGTACGTTTGTCATCATACACAGTATTTCTCGAATTGTACATGTAAAACGCAAGCTCAACTGACAAAGCTCATTAAAAGTCAGACTTTCCACATTTACACATCAATATATTTGTGTAAGTTTGTTACGTTATAATTATTCCATTGTGTATATTACTACCTACTTTACCAGTTGAAATATGATTCAATTAGGTTAAAAATGAACAATTATGATGAAAATCGTCATTAGGATATATTAAAATTAAGTACAAAACACAAATAAATAAGAAAACTAAGTTCATTCTAGTAATCAATCCTCTTCTGGAGAACCATAGAAATGAAATTCCAATGCGTTTATATATACATATCATTATACAACAATGTACGATAACGACCTCACTAAACTTATAAGGTTATTACAATTTACGTAAAAAGTTATTACATTTTACCGCAAGTAGAGATTATTACAATTTACGTCAATTTTTATTACAATTTGCGTATTACAATTTACGTCAAATATTATTACAATTTACGTTATTACAATTTACGTCAAAATTATTACAATTTGCTGCAAGTATTACAATTTACCTTTTTATTACAATTTACGTCGTAACAGTGCCAGTTTGCACAAGAATTGGGAAATTGTAAATCCTTTCTGGAAAGATACCCTTATAGCCTGGAGTGACTTTATGCATTCATATGACTTTGAAGACTTAGAAAAAGCAGAAATTGCTTCCCAACCCATATGGTTAAACCATTATTTTAGAGAACCAGTATACCTTTTTTATTGACTGGTTTAAAAGAGGTATAGTTACGATAAAAGACTTGTATGATGAAAACGGGTGGATCCCTTTCCCACGTTTACAACAACTTTATGATCTTAAAGGAACTTTTCTCGACTATAACCGTATGTTTTTTAATATTCCAAGAAGTTGGAGACAAAAATATTGATAAAAATCTACATTCCTCTTCTAATCTCACAGTATCTCCTTGGATTTATGATCTTACACGTTCTATTAAAGGAACAAAAGTGTTTTATAATAAACTGATAGGGAATTGCCTCCCTCTCCCTAAATCTTGTTTGAAATGGGAAAATCAGCTGGGATGTTCTTTTCCATGGAATCAAATATTCAGTGTATATTGCCATGGGTTAAGGGACACATAACTCAGGGATTTCCAGTTTAGATTTATTCATAAAGTAATATTTACTAAACGTGAGTTATTAAGAATGAAACTTATTGATAACGATGAGTGTCCTATGTGTCATACTCACAAAGAAAATGTTTTTCATGTTTATATCGAATGTCATGTTGTTAAGAATTTCTGGTCCGATTTCTGTATTTACTTGACTCATATCTTGTATAGAAAAATCCTTATAACTGACAACGAGCTCCTCTTTGGTACCTCTGCCTTCATCTGTACCATGATGTGGATTATGCCTTAGGCCTCCTCTGTACCATATCCTTTTGAGAAGTACCTGTATTCATAAAGCTGTATTGCTTTCCGAGTGCATATGTATCCTGTGAATATGACTGGATAAAAATTTATAAAAAAAAGAAGGTTTTGCGAAGCTATGTTGTACGGTTTAGAAAATATGCTCGGGACAAGAGCAGTAGCCTCAAATTTCCCGAGTTCATAATATTTCCATGGAAACGACTAAAATATAAAATTCTAAAAATCTCCAAATAGCAAAAGACACTTCTACTGAGCCTGATTGTTAAGTGTACAAACGTTTTGGGAAGCTATGTTGTACCGTTTAGGTAATATGCTCCGGACAAGAGCACTCCCCTCAAATTTCCTAAGTTCATCCATCATATTTCCACGGAAACGACAAAAATATAAAATTCTACAAAACCTCCAAATAGCAAAAGACACTTCTACTGAGCCTGATTGTTAAGTGTACAAACGTTTTGGGAAGCTATGTTGTACGGTTTAGGTAATATGCTCCGGACAAGAGCACTCTCCTCAAATTTCCTAAGTTCATCCATCATATTTCCACGGAAACGACAAAAATAAAAAATTCTAAAAATCTCTAAATAGCAAAAGGCACTACTACTGAGCCTGATTGGTAAGTGTGCCAAGTTTTGTGTAGCTAGGTTGTACGGTTTAGGAAATATGCTCCGGACAAAAGCACTACCCTCAAATTTCCTAAGTTCATCCATCATATTTCCACGGAAACAACAAAAATAAAAAATTCTAAAAATCTCTAAATAGCAAAAGGCACTACTACTGAGCCCGATTGGTAAGTGTACCAAGTTTTGTAAAGCTAGGTTGTACGGTTTAGGAAATATGCTCCGGACAAACAATGATTACAGACGGACGGACGGACAGACAGACAGACAGACATACTGATGGCTATATCCCCCCGTCATTATATGTCGGGGGGATAACAAGCCAGTAGCTATTTGAATTCCGAATATCAAGAGGTTCTTCCCGGAGGCATGATCCGAGACTAGACACTGACGCAAATATATATGATTGTGATAGATAACAACACTATCGCACAACAATATTCAATAGACTTTTATAGCAATAAAACAATACAAAATAAACCGTGGTAAAATATAACTCAAAACAGAGCTGCTTGCTCCAAAGTGGAATCATAAGGTGTCATCAAAAGTATTGATATATTTCATAAATAGCAAAATTCATCTGTAATCGTGTCAGTCACTCTATCATCGAAAGATATCTGAAATATCACTTATTATAAGGATTAAGGATAATGATATGTAGTCAGTACATATAACATGATCGATGACATTCATAGAAATAGTACTTGGGCTGTTTCAAGGAAGACGAGAAATGCACATTACCACACTACACGGGCATCGTGCAAGTGTACACACATAGTAGTAACACTTTCAACTATCTGGTTCAAAACAATGGTCACAAACAAAACCCTAACTAATCTCATTTAAATCAGATCTTAGTTCCCCGCGATCTAGTTCTCCCGCGAAAAAAAAGATCTAAGGACACCCTATTAGGGATCACGTCAGAACGACCTTTCGGGAACTTTGATCGACCAAAAAAAGTCGACATTAGCCAACCATAAAGCAGCTACATTTCTCGAACACAAGTTCCAAACTGGTGACTTCCAATCCGGACTATGCTTTGAAAAACGTTTTGACAAAGTTCTCGATTCAAAACTTGAAAACTGAACAAAATATCATTCTGGATGATATGATAGATGGCTGAGATTGTATGGCAGTATTTCCCATGGGTTATGCAATCTCATCCGGTCAAATGTTTATCCCACTGAAGCAAGTGATAGACGATGATTTTGACGGAATGCCCCATGTTAATCTTTTCGAGGTTGCAGAAAACACATTCCAAGGCATTGGTGACCAACTCGTGTTTTTCCGAAACCAGCCAAAATAGCGACTCCTTAAAAAACTAAGCGCAAACGGACCAAGTTGAAAGAATTGTCAACTCGTTGCGTAATGATATCACGTATATTTCCGCCATGTCCGAATATGTGTTTAAACACATCGGAACTTACCCTATTTAACTGTACCTAGGGTATATTTTTAGATGCAAGACATGTGTGAAATAAAAAATTATTCCGGAAGGATTCTTTGACGAAGAACATTTTGATTTGTTTGTTGTTATTTAGCACATAACATTCATTGGCGAGTGTTCTTGCAAGGTGGTGACGAATGATTCCAGCAGTCACTTTCCCTATCTGGTAAACGAAGCTCCGATAGGTCGGACGAAAGGTCGTTCTGAACTGACCCATAATGGGATGTTCTCAGATCTTTGTTTAGCGGTAGCGAGAACTATGATCTGATTTAAGTGAGAATTAACCCTAACAGGCTATATTAACAAACTTTAACTGAACATTTCTGATGCCTTTAACCTTTCTATCACAAATTCCACATGTATAGCCACGGTCTAGGAAGACCGAGTTGTGCCTGAGTAAAAGTTGACCATAATTAAAATATCCAGACTATTACGACTTTTACTGTTAGCTCTGCTTTTCTCCTGGAATCGTCACTGTATCCCGTCCTCTACCGGAACTGCCCATGTGGTCCTGGATAATAAGTTTAAGATGCCAGTAAAACCCTCCACGTCCAGACTGACTAACCATGCAGGGCGTCAAGGCAGAAGTACCTGTTCGGGCGGGTAAAACTGTCCGGTAAAATGCACGCTAGTCTACCAGAGTTTCCTGTTCTGGTGGAAGCGCAGCATTCCACCACAGACCGAACATGAGGGGTAGGTCTTGCTGTCCTTCTTGGGGATGTGCCAACACTTGCTGCAGCGCACTCGGTACTTTCTGTATCTGTAACACGAAATCACATATGCATATAGTGCCCCAAAGTACACGTTCGATACATAGCACTCGCCCTGTAGTGCACGATCAACAAGGCGTAAGTGAGTATTTACTACGATGATTCATCCTACAACACAACTGATGACCTTACTTAACCTAGCTACATGGACCGTGTGACGTCATGCTAGTTTAGAAGCACTGGCTCGACAGTGACAATTCTCAACTTTAATGTGTATTCTCAATCCAGTTGTGACTAACCAGCGCCAGCGAGGTCCTGGGAGTGTAGCAATGTTGGTGCCGAATGTTGACTGGTATAATGTCCCCACTACAGCCTTCACGCACTGTGCATTAAACTACACATCGATACTAGTCTGCTATCAACAAATGTCCTCGCTAGAGTGTACTATGAAGAACTGTACCATGTCATGGAACATTTTATTTTCCCCTCAAGAGTACCCCACCTCCCTTCTCGGAGACTTTAATACCGATATCAGTCATGGACACATTCCATATAGTAAATGTAACAAAGTAAAAACATTAATTTACCATGTCTTGATAGATATTGATTCAGTGAGTGAGTGAGTGAATATTTATAGTCACATCGGCAATATTTCAGCCATATCGTGACTAAATCAAGTAAGACAGTAATAATACATACAATTTTATTATAAAACCTGTCATCAAAGGTCAGTAAAATAACTAGATTATCACAGATGTACATTTTCAGACTAGTATGGAACCATAAAAATGATACTACCATAAATAACAATACAGTATAAAAACGGGGCTAGGGATCGCCAGCAAGTAAAGGTAGGCCACCATACTAGGAACCGTGGGGACTTCTGCTACCTGCACGGTTCCCCAGCAGGATTTACGCTATCCCTTAGCTGCTGGTGATTATCATCAAGTTTAGCCGAATTAAAACAAACAAGTATACTACGACTAAAACGGTAGTAGGAATAAACTGACTTCGAATGATGTGGACTTGCATACCTCCTCGGAGATATTGATTCAATAGCAGTGTTTATGTCAAAAACACTGGCGTTCCATATCATGTCTCAGATCACTTCCCAATAGGTGTTTGTATACTTCATCCAGAAAATATTGGGTACTATCACAAAGGCAAGTGAAACTAAGCTAATGCTTACTATGGATGACACAGATAACAATTTCCGTGGCATTGAAATACAAATGTAACAACTCTCACTTTGAAAAAAAAAAAATTGTCGAAATCTATGGGTTACTTGCGGTAAAGGCAAATATAAAAACGAAGCAGCTTATGTTGGTTGGTTTGTTTGTTTGTTGTTTAACGCTGCACTCAGCAATATTCCAGCTATATGGCGGCGGTCTGTAAATAATCAAGTCTTGACCAGACAGTCCATTGATTGATATCATGAGCATCGATCAACGCAATTGGGATTGATGACACGCATCAACCAAGTCAGCGAGCCTGACCACCCGATCCCATGCTGCTTATGTAAATATATAGCAGTAAAAGAACTATTAAGTAACAAACATCGCCATGCAAAGCACCAGTTGTCTAAATATAGATTTAACGAAATCTACCAGGCTGTTGAAGTGGATGTCAAAGAATTTTACAAAACCACAAAACGTTGCAAACGCTAAAGGGAAATAATGAAAAGATTTCCTGTGATTCTAAAGTTTGTAACGATGGAAAGAATATTTGCAATCTGTTACGAATTCATTTTCATACACTAGCTATTTCTTGCCCTGGTCCATCTCCCTGAGGCAAGGTGGTTAACTGGCATTTAAGTCCACTTTCCACCGGACATTTACAGTCAGTTAGCTCCCTTGCTTAGGGAAGATGGCCCTGGTGTGGCATGTGACTATGTGCATGGTCAGAATGTAAAAGAGTGGGTTGCTGATACTGAAACAATGGATGATATAGATAACGACACCAGGTAGCAATTGCATTATCCATTCACTGTAGAAGCAAGTAAAACGACTGAAAGTACAAAGGCTGTTAGATCTCTGCTGCATCATATTGCCTTAGTATTCTATGGCTTATATATTAAACAACTGTATGATATAGGGATAACCGGTAAACTCTGGAGAATACTAGTATTAAGACTCGCTTATAGCTCTATGATGAAGTCATGTGGGTGCTTTAAGGTGTGTGTTTAGGGGGTGGTTATAGCACCGCACTATAGTACACATTCTACATATGCGCCCTTACAATACAGCAACGTAGCACCAACCTTCTTAGTGTATCCCTGATATTGCACCAGCCATATGGCCAAACTGGAGCTCCAAAGGGGGATTAGTGGATTGGGTTACTTTATGTAGGTAATCGATCATTGTCCAGAAGCTTCTTTTTGCTCTGGCTAACGTGACGGAAATATGTTTGCCCTCAGCTGTTTTCTTTCAACTTCGCTTATATAACCACTAGGGGCAGGCTATCTGTGACAAGTACATGTTATGCAGTTAAAATAATTTACTCTTCTAGGGATAGCCCTCGTTTGTATGTATCAATAGGTCCACACTAAAGTGATCACCTGATTCCACACGCATTACACAGAGGGGTGCCGTCCTCTGCGTCTCGCCACAGGGGTGTGCGCCGGGTCCCACAGGATGCACAAACCTTGGCTGAAACATAAGAAGGGCTGTCAACTTTATCTTTGTGATTGTCATATATATACGAACGATGCATGTTACCATTTTAAAGAACACTTTCTGTTACCATGAGATACTTTATATAAGTTATATCTATGATACTATGAAAATTGAACACTTCAGAGTGAGTGAGTTGGATATTCCAGTTATATCACCGCGTGTCAGCTTAATGTTGGAGGAAACGTTTTCCACTTCGGTGAAACCGAGCATGGGTATGGTGCTGACAAACCTAGAAACATAATCGGGGCGAACCGGGATTCCAACCAACAATCATAGGTTTCTGGCATGCCCAAGGGACGCAACTCCGCACAGCGAATCGCGGCGCCTTAGACGACGGCCACCTGTGCCCCCACTTCAGAATTAACTGTACGACACACACCTCCAAAGTTCATGGTAGGGAAAGTCTCACGGAAGTCTTCATTCTCGGAGCTGCTCTTGCATTCAGATACAGAGTCATTGCGCTTGCGCGGACATTTGGTGCCCATGAATGTCTTCTTCTTACCCGTCGCCTTGCTGTAAAGAAAATTCCATTTTGTTTCACTTTACTATGCATGCATGATATACGTGAAAAAAAAATAAATGAACGAATGGCCACTGTGAACAAACTAGTAATATGTTCAGCTTATTAAATGGGTCGTTGAACTGTCTATTATATTCTTAATAATAATAAAAACCATCTAAACTCTAAAGTCTAAGCTCATTATTTGTTTTGCTGGTTCATCATCGGGAACAAACGAGTTCAGCAACGTTTAGTAGTTTCGGCTTCTACTTCTATCGATGATTTCAAATCTGGAGGTTTTGATGATCACGGGAGGACTGTTACTGTGTGGTTCCGTAGGAAGGTTTCCGTTGCACGTGCTGCCGACGATGAAGCATTGTGGTGTTGAAAGAAAGACGTTAGCATGGTGTATAATTCGAACAATGTGCGGCAGTAGAATTTCATCATAATAGGTTTCTTCCAAAGGTAAACTTCCCGCCCACATCATTTCGCTGTCACCATCAATATGCAATATTCTACGTGGGACGATGTTCTTGCGTTAAAACACAGGGCCACGGATAGCCATACTATACTGACTGTACTGATTACATTATAAAAAAGCTCTTTTTTTAATGTAATCAGTACAGTCAGTATAGTATGGCTATCCGTGGCCCTGTGCGTTAAAACACCTCTGACAGGCCGTCTGGCTTCGATATCTGCCTCTTGCATTGTATGATCAGAATGCCTTCACAATCTTATATTCGCTGCTGTAGTACTCCTTTGCCGCTCATGACGTAGCCGTATGAAGCGATCCTGAGCAGAGAATAATAATGTCGGCCACGTGACGTACCATGCTGTATTCATATGTTAAGCTTATGGACTTGATTCCAACAATGGTTATATTCAGTTTGTATCAAATGATATATTCATGCTTCACATATCGTATCAAATGATATATATTTTATGCTTCATATATCGTATCAAATGATATATATTCATGCATCACATATCGTATTAAATGATATATGTTCATGTTTCACATATCGTATCAAATGATATATATTCATGCTTCACATATCGTGTCAAATGATATATTCATGCCTCACATATCGTATCAAATGATATATATTCATGCTTCACATATCGTATCAAATGATATATTCATGCTTCACATATCGTTTATGGGTTTAAGTCTTTTATAAAATAAATATGTAATCACTATCACCTTTTCGTATCCTATGCGTTACCTTTTTGAGGAATGTATATAGGATCGTTTAGGTCATTAAAAGATCGTGTGACCCGTGAAGATCCGGGGTCTCCAGCAACCCGTGCTTGCCCTAAAAGGCGACTATGTAAGAGGCAACTAATGGGATTGTCTGGTCCAGTCTCGATTATTTACAGACCGCCGTCATTAAGCTTGAATATTGCTGAGTGCGGCGTTAAACAACACACAAACAACCAACCAAAATAGATCGTGTGGATCTCAAATACGTTGGAGTATCAACCTTCATTAAGTGAGGGCCTAACTGCAAGATCGTCCGAGGTCTTGTTAAAATGAATTCACAAAAAGTGAAAGTAAACGCTTATAATTCCTATTTTGTACCTCGAACGATGTATACAAAATTTCACTTGGTACGTGTGACTTTGTGTGACAATGACAGACATCAAAATTATTTTAATTTTATGTTATCTGCTAAGACTTAGTGCACTATAGCTGCTTTACACGAATGCGTGGTGGCGGTGGACAGAAACATTAACAACACACAGCTTATAAACTTATATGATGGAAAATATACACTAGCGACGTTATTTTATGTACAATATCGAAACACTCATCCGAAATTCAAATATAACTCAGAAAACTATGGTGGCCGAGAGGGGACATCGCTTTCTCGCTTTATCGCTCTATTGCTTTATCGCTTTCTCGCTCTTTCGCTTTCTCGCTTTAACGCTCTATCGCTTTCTCGTTCTATCGCTTTATCGCTTTCTCGTTCTATCGCTTTATCGCTTTCTCGCTCTATCGCTTTCCCGCTCTATCGCTTTCCCGCTCTATCGCTTTCTCGCTCTCTCGCTTTCTCGCTCTCTCGCTTTATCGCTCTATCGCTTTCTCGCCCTATTGCTTCTTCTAATGACTAACCATAGTCATATGAAGTAATCGGGTGTTCTTTAACTTCTTTTGAATAGTATGTGCTGTAAATCTTGAAATTAACGTTATTTATAAATGCAAAAAAATTAGCGTAGACATAATTACCGTATTCGACGTAATAAGTGCCCAGGGCGCTCTCAAGAAAAATATTTTGGCGGGAAAAAAAAGTTGAGTTGAAAGATAAATTTCGTGGTTTATGCTGACAGCCTGAAATGTTTATGTACGACAGATATATTTTTCCCGAATTTAATTGCCCATAATTAAGTGTGCATATAACGCACGAGTGCGTATTATACGCGAATAAATAAGTCTGGTGTACATTAATCAATCGCAAGGGGTGCTAATTGGGATTGTTCACTAGCCAATATTTTAGCAAATATCGCCGTGGGCGTTGATTAGAGCGGGGCGTTTATTACTTTCGAATAAGGTAATTATACTTTGCATTTATGTCTCAGAAATGACTGTTGATAAGACGGCCTAACTGAACACTTTGAATAGCGGAAATACCAACTTGAATATAAAACCAATCAACTATCTATTTCCACATTACGGTTACTGAGAACAATATGTTATCCAAAAACTAGAAATTACATAAAGGACATCCGGTAGTATTAACCATTGCTTAGGTGAGGACTTCCACTTTGATGACATCTACTCCGCAAACAGAATAAACGTTGATATAAGAGTTGTTTTTAGGAAAACACTATTGCTTTTTAGGAAGTACGTACTACTCAGCGCTATTGAGCGGTGTTATTTGCTATTTGTTTTGATAACTTGGCCTGGGGGCGGGGGGTTAAATAGCTAAATAGGGTCATAAATCAATCAAATTCTTTTTTACGCAGAAATACGTGGATTGTTATAAAAGCACATATGTCTGTACTGTTAAATTATATTTCAGTAGATAGTGAGAAAATTTCAACATTCCGTCCATATGTATAATTTGAAATGCGACTGGAAAAATCTCAGCTCTCTTTTATGATTAAAACCCACAAGAGGGAATATTGCTATACCGCGAGAAAGCGATAGAGCGGGAAAGCGAGAAAGCGAGAAAGCGATAGAGCGATAGAGCGAGAAAGCGATAGAGCGAGAAAGCGATAGAGCGAGAAAGCGAGAAAGCGATAGAGCGAGAAAGCGATATTTCCCATAATGCCGTACATTAAAACGGTTTTTGCTGATATTTAGTGATACTGTAATTCTCACCGCTATTTTGCCTCTGATGATTATATTTTTTAAACATCTTGTAGTAGATAAATATGTTACAAAATACACACGTAATTTTTTCTCGTTTAGCTTGCATATTTTCTTGTAAGACTTAAAGAATACAGATAGTCACTGTTCATATTTTCATTTTGTTCATAGTATCCCCCCCATTTCTCCATCAAACTCAAAACTGATAAAAAAGACAAAACTATACTTAAGATATACATAACATATCACAATGATAGCTGATTTGGTATATGTTATAGATAATCATAGTAATGCATTTCATATTGTTATCAACCTTAACTATGTGGCCATACTAATTACTAACGCCCATTTCTGGTGTTACTCGTGATATAACTGGATTATTGTTAAAAGCGACGTGAAACCATCCTCACTCACTCACAGCGGTGTTTATCAAATTACTATATGCAAGTACATATATTTGTAGATTTGCACAAGACAAGAAACACAATTCAAGTTAAACATACATCAAATGTCAAAAAGAACATTTACGGACAACCTTATGACACACTGTAAATCATATACTACCGAAAACAAGTTATAGAACACCCACAATTATAAGATTGTATTTTTGCAAAACAATCAGCCATGACTAATTAACCATAGTCTTCTGAACTTCTTTTGAAAAGTATATATTTAGATTTTAACCTGATTTATTTAGAGCGTATTGCCATGATCTGCCACACGCTTTCGGCGTGATGGTCACATACAACTGAATAGGGCCATAAGTAAATCAATTACATTTTACGCAAAAATCGGTGGATTGATTTAAAATCACCTACGTCTGTACAGTTAAATTATGTTTTAAATAAATAGTGAGAAAAGTTCAACATTACCTCCCAATTGCAGCAGATATCACATGCGGCCCCTGTAGTGGTCAAGAGGGGATACTGCTTAACCGCGAGAAAGCGATAGAGCGATAAAGCGATAGAGCGAGAAAGCGATGTCCCCTCTCGGCCACCATAGAAAACAGATGTGTGTTTATTGTGAGCTGGATGTGGCTGGTTGCGACCTACCTGAAGAAGGATGATATCCTGAGTTGTGTCCTGTCCCCTTCCACCAGGGTAGTGAACCACATCGTCACGCCGCGGAAGTTGGGATCCCAGCATGCCGCACTCTTCTGGGGTTTCTTTGGCTTCCGCGCTTTTCTCCTGGATCGCGGAGTTGCAGACCGTGTGCCCCACGACTCCCCGCCCCCGCCGTCTTTACTATTTTCCCGTTGTGTGTGTGTGAGCACATGTCCGTCCCCTGCCTTCGGAGACCTGAAGCATATATGTCAGTAATCTAACTCGAGTGCACACGTTATTTCATATACCCCAACCAACTGGGACAGACATTTTAATGTTCTTGTATTCTTTCAATCAATCTGTCTATCCAACAATTCGTGGTTCTGAATGTTCATTGAAACATGTCACGTACCTTATCTCGTATAATATGATTACTTAGCAATATTCCGCGGTCTGGACCAGACAATCCAGTGATTGACATCTGAGCATCGATCCTCGCAATTGGGATACGATGACCTGCATCAACCAAGTCAGTGAGCCTGACCACCTGATCCCGTTAGTCGCCTCTTACGACAAGCATAGTCGCCTTTTACGGCAAGCATGGGTTTCTGAAGACCATATCTACCCCAGATCTTCACGGGTAAAGATGATTCTTCATGGTCTGCATCAGTGTGTGGTATTTAGTAAGCATGTCACTTTCTAAATGCAAGTATTTCAGTGCCAAAATAACTAATTTGCGATATTTCATTCAGGTAACATCTTTGTTTTAGCGAATAGTAAAGCAGATTAATAATCTTTTTATTCAGCCATTCATGCATAGAATCCTAACGTGTAGGTCAAAGTAGAACGGTTTACATACACGCACGATTGGACAGTATGACTTAGTATTATGAAGATTAGTTCGATTGATTGTGGTTATGTCCTGATCTGTGGCTGTGGCCAACATGATACATTTCAGCAGTTATAGATGGGTGGATGGAGAGATGGTTCACGGCGGACTGTAAAATTCGCCTGACCACCCGCCTCCTTATAATTAAAGCAATTAGTGTGTTATGGGGTGGGGGTGGGGGTGGGGGACAATTCTTCAGACGCGGAAACCACGGGGATAACATGCAATAGTGTATCTGTCGACTCATGCCCACCTACCGGTTTTTGCAATGTGTATCTTGTCCGGAATCAATATGTTTAGGTTTAACAGAACAGTCTGCTGCTCTTTTCACAGAATCTGTCTCCATTAAGGACTTGCATGGTGATCCCGTGTCTTTTCTGGCCATTCGCGAACATTGTGATACATTAGCAGAAAAAAACGGTTGGTAGTCCGTTTTCATCTTTTCTTCGATCTGAACACTGTCAATCTACTGTAATCAACTGCTACTTTGTAACTAATGTCAAACCCGCGGCTGGCCCTTTTCTTGTGCTCATTTGCATATCAAAGCAATGGCGTACAAGCGTGATGCACGTTTTGCACGTGGCGACCGTGTGCTTAACGAATAGCGATTTGCCCTGAACCTCTTTCACCGCAAGTAACTCTTAAACAATCTGGTCATTCCTCATTAAATTGATCAAAAGAATATGACAACTGCGTGCAGATTGTGTATTTAGCTTACTTTGGTTTCAAAATGGTCACATAGTGTTTGTTTATTGCATAACAGCTCTTCCGAACTAATTTCACAAAATAGTGAATACAACGTCGTGTCATTGGACCCTGATGACACGCAACAATGACGGCTATATTGACAACAAACTGAATTATATTCTCGTCGTACATTGGGGGGGGGGGGGGGGGTCGTTTGATATATTTCCTATTTCAAGTTTGTGAATGAGGCGCAACAAGAGAAGCGTCTGTAAAATATCCCACTGTGTACTGTGTATTATTGACTGGTGAGTGTGTGAGTTACAATTTAACACCACATCGGCAAAATTTCAGCCATATCATGACCAGACAAAATTATACATTCACAACAAACCTATTTATATTTGTTAAAATCCTGTTTGTTTTTAACGCCGCACTCAGCCAAAATTCCAGCTATATGATGACGATCTGTAAATAAGTCTGGACCAGACAATCCAGTGATTGACATCATGAGCATCGATCTACGCAATTGGGACACGATGACATGCATCGACCAAGTCAGCGAGCCTGACCACCCGATCCTGTTATATATTAGGCCTAACTCACAATACGCTTACTGGTGGTCAGCTGATGGGTCGTCTAAAGCATAGAAGGCGCTTAAGAAACACAAAGAAATCATTCATTTGTAAAGAATAAGAAATAGCATCAGAACTTCATAGGAATAACATCAATTTCACCCCAATGTAGCAGATGAACCTACTCAAATGAGATCAAAGGTTACCTCGAGACTTTACCTCTCCTTCAAATCCCCCAAAGAATTGTCATCTTTACCATTCCCACACCAAAGAGAAATTGGTCAGCCCAAATTATTCATGTGGTTGTGTAATGTGCGGTTAATCACTTAATTGTCTACGTACGTGAGAGCATCGTCAATACATGTCCCTACATCACGTCTTGCTTGTAGGACACTATATAGCCTGTCTCAGTCCCTGAACCATTATTTTCCTTTCCGCCCTGCTCTTTCTGTAATGCAAAAGCTCTAAATGAAGCAAGTCTAGATATTAAAGTACCACGGAAATGAAAAAAACCCTGTTTTTTCTATCTCAGATTTTAAATAAATGCAGTTAATAAACAAAATAGATAAATATTCAAACAACTCAATTAGTACTAATTGGGCCTTGGCACAAATACAGCGTATGAAAGTTTTTTATGTCTTTTTACACGTAAAAGTGTGTAAAAATATGAACAAAACAGACTTTTGTGAAACTGAGCATAACCAGGTGTTAGTAGATCAAGGCGAATGTCCATGACCTATGACACCTTGACGACAGGTGAAAACAGGTGCTTGAAACCCACGTGCATGTGATTTGTCAGTGGTTAGTGATTTGTGAGTGGCATTGTTTGATAGTGAATCATCGTTAAAATATCAGAACGTAAAAGTAACATATTCCCTTCTCAAACAACAACTAACATGTCATTATTATTATGTACATAAACATAGCTGTTATTTTTATTGTTGTTTTGATAACTTTTTTTCAAAGGCTAATTTGCATAATGCCTATAGCCTGTTTTTGCCATGTCAATTTGGACTTAGTTTTATTTTTGAATGTTGAAAGTGCCTACAAATTACCTCCTGTAAAGTACATTTTGTATTGAGCACCGAGATAAAAATAGCAAATCCAGACTAGTACTTTTCCAGTTGTTTTGTTATTTCGTATTTACATCTACGTAATGCTTTGTGTCGATTATTAAATCCAGCAAACAGGTGTGTTTTTTCATTTCCATGAGTACTTTAGTCAGGTACTGAATTTCTCATCTTACAGGGCTCCTTTTCAATTTAAATGGAGTACTTTTGATTCCTATCAAAATTCTTTTTTAAAAATAAGAGACTAAGCGTACGGTCGTGTAGGACCCCATCGATTCGCGGCTCTCGGTGACTTGTACGCTATGACCGACGATAATGAAAGCCAATAATACACACCGTCACCAAGGCCGTAGTTAACTTTTTTTTGACAGGGGAGGCAAATATTTGTACAAGTATCACTTGTCCCCAACTTGATTCAAATAAAACTGTTTTCTATAAAAAAAAATCTAGGGGGGCAACTGCCCCCCGTGCCCCCCGGCTGGCTACGGCACTGGTCACGTGTGTCGAAGCAATTGCCAAAAGGGCATGTGTTGACTATATCAATCACACATAATCTCACAAAAATAGCCAATATTTCCAATATTTAGATGAATTAACAACATCAACTCACACAACTACAACATGCATTCCTGGCAATAATCAAATGCAATATGTCGTTTAAGCTTTTCCCAAGTGTACTGTATACAAATCCAAAATACCCCAGACAGATCATGCATGTTGATTATTACATAAACTTCGTCGATAGTTGCTGCAAGCAGACGACATTTTTCGCAGGTGCTTGTTAACTTGACTGGTTCCACATTTTATCAACGCTGCGATTTTTCGTTATGTTAGAGTCGGAACCCAGCTTGAGCTGAAGAGAAGATACTATCACGCATGCGTAGATACCCGTCGTGAGGTTAAACAATATGGCGAGTCACGAAAGTAAGAAATGTAACTAAAGAAACAAGTTCCTGTATTCTGATGAGTTCGGATCAACAAAGACGTGTACACACTTTTGGTAAGATGTTATGTTGTGTTCATCGACATGATAACTTAGAAGCAAATAGAATGAATATTTAAATTATAGAATTATATTAGAATGTTCTTTATCATTTATGTAGAATCATCGGAAAAAAAGTTAACAATATTTTTTTTCATATGTGCATATATACTATTCAAGAATCTAGGCCTATAGTCAGCATTAGATCTATCTTCTCACAGAAATCCCTAGCTGTATTAATCCGCAGGATTTTGTAAGTGAACACAAATAATGAGATTATCAAGCTAGTGCGTTTTGGGATTGTAACTAGCAATGCTCAGTCAAATTTAGAATTTTGCATATTGTGTTAACAAATCACTGATTTAGCTTCAGAAATCCTTAAGAAATACATATCACAGGATGGTTTTTCTCCCACTTGTCTGATTATCTCTCAGAAAAACTCTTTTTGACACCACCGTGGAGAGCCAGAAATTTCATTTTGGTCTAAAAAATGGCAACAAATGAAAAAGGGGAACATTTTAAGAAAATGTTTATTTGAATAAAACCATAATATTTTAGTAGCATAACAGCAGTAATCCAGGGCCAAGTTTGGTGCATATTCATCTAAACTGAATTTTGGGAATAGAAAAATGACTTTGAAATGTGGCGAAAATGTCCATTTTGGGGGTTAAGTTAATAACTTGTGACACATCTGAGCTTCCAGGCACCGTTTCTAGTACAGCATCAACTGTGCCTGTCAGTATGGGCTTGAAATGTCTTACCTACAACAACAAAATATGAAAAGAAACATAAGGAGTCTGTATTAAACTTTCTTTTGTCTTTCAACAGTTCTTCACAGTACTCAAAGTCATTTTTCATGCTTTTTCTCTTTTTGTGCTGCCTCTTCCAATGTGCAAATAGAATCTTCCAAAGCTTCAGTTGACATTTTGATATATTCCTTTGAAGATTTCAGCTCTTGTTGGTTGTATTCAAATTCCTTCCCAATTTTCTTGACTTTTGAAGCATTTTTGGCCAGGCCGGTTTTAGTTTGAGCATGGGCACTCTTTTCTCTCCTGTTAAGGCTGAAATATTTTCCTCTCATATTTGGCTTAAGGGTTTCCAATTTGTCTCTTTACAGCAAATTCATCAGTGGCTCTTTTGAATTTTCTTTTTAAATTGTAATTTTCCCTTTCTAGAGATATCATTTTTTCTTTCTTGTTTTGCATTAGTGGGTTTAACTTGCTTACTTCATCCTTCAGACCTTCATGTCCAAGGCCTTACAATGTCATAATATGACCTCGTTCTCTCAGGAGTTTGTACTGGCACAATGAAATGCTCAGCTCTATATTTTTCCTTAACTTGTCCTTTTTTCCTTTTATCTTCTTGCTGTATTCGGTGAAACTTACTCATTAAGGCATTAAAATTAAGCTGCTGAAGGGGAACATTAAAAACCTGTCCAACCCACGTAGCAAACATTTGACGGTTTCTGGGGGCAAATTTGTGAATTTTAAATACTAACCCATTTGTTTGAAATTTAGTCAGAGCTACACTCACATCAAGCTGTGCTTTCATGCTGTCAGTAAGTTGCAACTGTTCAATTAATGGGAACATTTTCCAAACCTTTTCTTTGCTTTTTTATATGCTATGTTTCTGGATCTTGATCTCAGCAATGAAAAGGAACCAGACCCACTACTACTACTAATACTGCTGAATTGAAAAAGTGATGCAATGTTTCTCGTGAAGAAATTTTTCGCTCACTTAGTTCACACTCAAAATGATCATGAAGCCACTGTGCAACCTTATTATTTTCTGCCAAACACAGAGCATGAATTGATGTTACAGATTCACAATCTCTCAATTTTCTGTAAGTATCAAGAAGATTATTCCAATCATCCGATTGGTGTTCAATATTTCATACAAGTTTACTGTACTTTACATTAATTAAAACATACATTTAGTTACTTATTGTAACACACATACATGACATCTTAATTGTTCCTCCTACCTACGTTAAAACACATGACATTGACAATGTGAAATGGTTCAGCCTGACAGTTATTTTAGTATTTTTAAAACTTTAAACTGTCAACGCAAAAAATACCTCAATGTCATAAATATATTCTCAAATACAACATTCTTACATATACTGCCTCAAATTACGAGGATTATTAAAAACAAATACTGTAGTGTTTGTGAAACATGTCCGAAGGGAAGTAACTGCGTAGTTATGTAAAAACTGCATACCGCTAATAGAAGTAGGGTGAGGTCCGATTTAATTATTTTTTGATATATTGTCCCTTATTAATTTCGTCTACAACACACTGAATATTATAACAAATGATTGCAGAAGAGAATAAACCTATTTACAATCGCGTATTCAGCTGTTTTGATATTTTTGAGAATAACTGTTGACTTCATCAAAGTAACTCAACTTCGAAGAACATTCTAAAAATAGCAGCTTATGAAATACGCATGGAACCTTTACCCTAGTTTGTGATGTACGCTGATTTTCCCGCTTTCTGCGTTAATCAGTGAGTTTAGAGATGGGATTTTGAACCGACCCTCCGAGGTGTGGTAAACCAGCTTTGGGAATAATTGCAGGAAGAGTTACCTCCTCTTGCCATGAGCATTGTAATGTAACTATCCTGTATTAGGAATAAACATGACATATTTAGCGAGCCTTGGCAGAGAGGAAACAGTATGGAAATATGTGATCTATTTTCAGTTCCAAGTATTAAGGATTGACAGAGCTCCAGATAAGCTTTTGGTGTTGTGGGTATTTTACCCATGCATTTTAAAATCATTGGGTATCAGTAATTCTATCTGGGTATTCAAATTTCTGTTACCCATTAGTTTTTACAAATGTGGGTATTTAAGTTAAATATTTATTTTTGAAAAACACTATTCATCTAGTCCCTCCAAACTGGTGTCGTGTAGGTTCGAGAGCTTTATAGGACTCAAAGTGTGATGGCAAATGATCATGATGTAACTGTCATGCCTATTTGATACGCTTGGATTTTATTTTACTGCATATTTCTGCATTTCTGATGCGTATTTTACGCAGATACACAGCTTATCTGGAGCTCTGGATTGATAAAGAAACAAAAGTATGTGTGTCACTTAAGATATCCTTTTTTCAGCTCAATTCTTTGGTAATATGAGAATAAGGAACATCAGACTACTTTTTACAACAGAAGTATCCAACAAGGCTGAAAACAGTATGTGACCAGCCGAAGGAAGAAGACCTTCTGCATGCTAGGATACAATTGTGCAGTGACATCATAAATAAAACGTTTGATGTCAACTTAATTACTCCCGTAAAAGTCGCCCATGTGTTGACTGTACAACAAATGTTATATTTTTATTATTTTAAAACAATGCAGTATACATGTCTACTTTTCATTATTCAGATTATTATTTATAAGAAACTGCTATTGCAACATAAATAATTATGAAGTGTATTTCAAGTTTGAAATACGGGTCCTAATGTTTGTTGCTATGTATCGCTTTAATAAATATGAAATGAAGCTTGTGAATTGTGTTCTTTTTGTAAAATATAATGAGAAGTCAAAATGTGATTTTTCACCCATAAGGTCCGAACTAATGGTTGGTCACATATGATGCGTTATGAAATTTGATATTTCATGTACAGCTATGAATTCCTGTTGCCTACAATGCATTTAACTTGCTATAAATCTTTAGTTGGGAACATGTTTGAGTTTAATGCAGCTGTACATCATTCATGTACATCAACTTTACTTTGAGCTGACCGCCTTAGTGGTTTAGTGGTGGAGCATCTGTCCAGAGAGCAGAAGGTCCCCAGCCAGGTAATGCCACAAGATGGTACTTGTTATTACCCTGCCTGGTGCTCGTCATTAAGGAGCTAAAATAAGGACTGCTCGACTCAGAGTCAGTATACTGTGTCTGATAAAGGATATTCCATGTGCTGAGTGAAATATCATGTTTCTCTTATCATGTGACCAGGGGAAAGGAGGTATTTTCACAAGATGAGAGAAACTTGATATTTCACTCAACACATGGAATATCCTATTTATGACATACTTTTTGTGTAGTTGTAGTTGTGTAATTAAATAATGTCATTACAAATGTGAAACCTTGAAATGTAAATTCTCCCAACCTAACATGCAGGGATGTTTCACGACCCTTTGTAATTGCGACTTAAAAAGTAGTTCCGTGTTCGTAAAATCTTAAAATATAGAAACATAAGCAACAAAAAATATTTAGGGTTGCAAATTTTTTTTGTCATACTTATAGATACGATTATATAACTTAAACAAAAAATATTCTTGTAAACTACGAGATCTCAGTTGGAAGCAAAAGAAATACATGGTGGTCAAGTAACAAATACGCTTTGGCGCTTAGCAAAACGTACACTCTTGATTGATCAGTTAAATAAGAAATTTACAGTTTAACGAAACGTTTTCAAGGGAATAACAAACGGCAAGAATTAACATTAACTCCATAAATGACAAAAAGTTATGATCAAGTGTTGTGTTCACAGCAGTGAAATATCAAGTGTTATGTTCGCTGCAGTGGAATATCAAGTGTTATGCTCGCTGCAGTGAAATATCAAGTGTTATGTTCGCAGCAGTGAAATATCAAGTGTTATGTTCACTGCAGTGAAATATCAAGTGTTATGCTCGCTGCAGTGAAATATCAAGTGTTATGCTCGCTGCAGTGAAATATCAAGTGTTATGTTCGCAGCAGTGAAATATCAAGTGTTATGCTCGCAGCAGTGAAATATCAAGTGTTATGTTTGCAGCAGTGAAATATCAAGTGTTATGCTCGCAGCAGTGAAATATCAAGTGTTATGTTCGCAGCAGTGAAATATCAAGTGTTATGTTCGCTGCAGTGAAATATCAAGTGTTATGTTCGCAGCAGTGAAATATCAAGTGTTATGCTCGCAGCAGTGAAATATCAAGTGTTATGTTCGCAGCAGTGAAATATCAAGTGTTATGCTCGCAGCAGTGAAATATCAAGTGTTATGTTCACTGCAGTGAAATATCAAGTGTTATGTTCGCAGCAGTGAAATATCAAGTGTTATGCTCGCAGCAGTGAAATATCAAGTGTTATGTTCGCAGCAGTGAAATATCAAGTGTTATGCTCGCTGCAGTGAAATATCAAGTGTTATGTTCACTGCAGTGAAATATCAAGTGTTATGTTCGCACCAGTGAAATATCAAGTGTTATGTTCACTGCAGTGTTCGCAACTTCGGAAAACTCAGTCTTCCTGACTGAATGTATAATAAAGTCGGGTATTCATGTTAAACTAGGGCAAGGTATCTCGGGGGATGGCACTATAAAATCAGCATTAGTCCAAACTAGTACAAGCAAGCACGCACGCACGCACGCACGCACGCACACAACACAACACAACACAACACAACACAACACAACACAACACAACACAACACAACACAACACAACACAACACAACACAACACAACACAACACAACACAACACAACACAACACAACACAACACACACACACACACACACACACACCTCACCTTTACTTTGAGGTACAAAGTTCAAAATATAAAAATGTTAGCCTCAAAAGAAATAGCGACTTGAGTGTTGTTGAACACTGCAGTCTACAATATTCAATAATACATACCCCAGTAATCAAGACTGGACCAGGTGACTGAAACATTTGATAAACTTTTGTCAATTTAGAGAAACTAGTTCAGATGTCGGCTGGTCAGGAAGGATCCTCTTCCTAAAGCTATTGAACATGCAGCCTTTTAATATTGCCCTATAACAGATATAACAGCTTCACAAATGTAGCTTTGATCCAATATTTCAGATGCCCTGGCACAATGTACTCCAGAGCTCATCTCTTGATAGAGAAAGAATTTGACAGTTTGACATCAAAGGGACCATGGGTATGTATTTCCTGAAGATAGAAGATAGTTGTGGCGTGTAAGACAAAACATCTGATTTTGTATTCCAGTGAGAAATGGGACTCTGAGATCTTCAATGTTCATTCCTGCCAATTACCACCACAATCATTCCCAAGCAAGTGATATTAGTTTCAGTTGTGATGTTGTTATTTGTTTAATGGTGTATGGAACTCAAATCTTTGTTAATGCAAGTGTAACATCAAACAAAAAGGAAATTTCAGCATGCCAGCAGGCAGATTTGATGTTGCACCTTTACCTTGATCATGTAGCTGGTTGTATAGAACACATTTCTTCCCTGTGCTAGGTTTTGTATGAGTATGCATATGTTATCAAAGTATTGGCAAGTTAGATCATTTAAATATTTGCTACATAGGGTTTGACATTAACAAAAGTCTACTTATCTGAGACTAATGAAATTCAGGAGGGACTGGTGACATTTCCGGTTGGACGACCGCTTTTATGATTATGGCAACTCTGTAGCAAATCATTTTGGAGGATTGGTGAAAACAGGAATTAATTTCTAACTCGGCATTATTTGTAATGTCACTATTTGAAAAAAAACTTGTATACATTGTATAAAAAGTTTTACAACATTCAGCTTGAAGTGTTTGTCTTTCACACAGTATGAAATCCATGGATATGCAAATGAAAGTGCTGATGTTCTAAGTTTGCTTTCATAGTAAGAAAGTGTGAAGTAGAGCCAAGTAAGCGCTTTGTTTGAAATCTAGATGTCTAATAATCCATATACATGTAGTTGGAAAGTACGTATCCTAACGATGATGGACATGTAACATTTATGTCAAAGTATACATTCATATATTTATCTGTCATATTTGATTTCACACCAGAAAGAAAATTTGATAATTTCAAATTTATATTGTAGAATCAGCATATTCTTCATTTTTTTCTGTATACAAAAATACATACCCTGGTACTATACCTGACATTTATATCACCGCTATTAAAGATAGAATACTCTATACGGATATTATACCGGTAAGTGACACAGTGACATTGCCCTGACACATGGAGCTGCCTCTACCTAGACCATTGACTAGAAATCCTTACACCTTGGTATACATTCAGTGTTCATCACTCACCCTGGTAGGGTCTAGTATACTTCCTTAAGGACCAGTAAAAGTAATGAAATGCCAGGTTGGTGGTCTGGTGTTTTCCTTTGCACGAACAAAGTAATCTAAGTTGATATGACTTTTGAAATCAGCGATAGATCGAGTCTAAGCAAAACCAGCAGCCGAAACAACCCTGTGAGGTACAGTGATTACCTTCCTGACTCGTTTCTCATTCTATTAACGCACACTCACTTGTAGCATGAACATGATAAAGTATCGGAGATTTAAAACCTTTCTTGGTCAACACTATTGTGTCTAGTAGAGATCCAACAGGACCAGCATTTTTCTATACACTGGTCCTTTGGATCACTGACAAATATTGGTCAGTGTCAAACACTGTACATGTAGACTGTTGTGAGATCTTGTGTCTTGTATTCAGTAAAGAGTCATAGGTGATAGTCTATATAAGTACATTTTCTCATTATAAGTACATTTTATCATTTCATCCCATTCAACAAAAGGAAATGTTTCCAAATTTCCAATCCAATAGATAATGATACTAGATAATTGGAATTAATGGAGTTATTTGTTATAACAGGAAAAGCAGAATACTAAATGTTTTTTAAGGTTTGAACTACGAAAATAAGAGTAGGAACATCGTTAATGTTTTTCAGTAATTATGTGTTTTAAAAATGTTTATATCAGTGTATGTTTTCCCAGCTAAACTAGAGCATGGAGGGAACAATTATAGTTCAAGGTTGTGAAAAACCCCATCTAATTAAACACATGAATGCATTCATGTTGCCCAAATGTGCCCCAAAATTAATATTACGAAATGCATGTGTAACTACATGGCTTTGAAGGGTTGGATCATTTAGAAATTTAGTATTAACAACAATATTTTCCGATCATCAGATTATGCAGGGTAATAACATTATAATGAATAGTTTTTAAACATCACCACGAAATGACACAAATGTAACCTTACAAGACAAACATTGTTTCATTCAGAAATCAATTATCCATAGTGTGTGTATCTACTAAATTTATGTTATTGAACTACCCGGTATATGAGATTAATCTGTGTATATAAATATCAAAAAGGCTGTTTAATAATCTATCCATTTTGACTGCTTTCTCACTGTAAAATATTCCATTCCCTCACTCAACTATATGCTCATTATGGTCAGCATTTGTCAACCTACCAAAACAGAAAAACTGTAACAAATTGTTTCAGTGTCAGTGTAACTCCAGTGGTCAACAGTCTCATTTACTTGTCTGTCATCAAGGAATTCTTCCCAACCCTAATGTATTACATTCTAGTTCAAAGATAATAGAATTATTTTTTAGGAACTAAAACCATATGGATCCATTATACGACCATGACCAGTGTTCCTGTTTTCCGGTAATTACCTTTTTTTTTACCAGTAAAATGTAGGCTTGGACTGGTAATTTATGTTACTGTCAGTCTCTGTGAACTGGGAAAAAAAGTACCTTGTTCAACAAAGATCGATGATAATCAATAAAGTATATTTTTCTAACAAAGCCAACTGGTCTCTTATCAGAGTTTCCAGTTGTCTATTTTTAGTGCAAGTAAATAACATTTTGCTTTGCTTTGAGGTTATATCTATTTTTAGAGACTTAGTATCTAGTGGAATGTCAAACATGGTAGTGACAGAATTAAAAGCAGATAATTTTCATATTTCTTTTTATTTGTTCGAAAGCTGGGACTGACAAAAATAACTGGGACAAGTCCCAATTTCCTACCTGGGTACCCGACCCCCTATTACCCGACCCTACCCGGGTACCCTACCCCCTATTACCCGACCCTACCCTACCCGGGTACCCGACCCCCTATTACCCGACCCTACCCGGGTACCCGACCCCCTATTACCTGACCCTACCCGGGTACCCGACCCCCTATTACCTGACCCTACCCAGGGACCCGACCCCCTATTACCAGACCCTACCCAGGTACCCGACCCCCTATTACCTGACCCTACCCAGGGACCCGACCCCCTATTACCTGACCCTACCCAGGGACCCGACCCCCTATTACCTGACCCTACCCAGGGACCCGACCCCCTATTACCTGACCCTACCCAGGGACCCAACCCCCTATTACCTGACCCTACCCAGGGACCCGACCCCCTATTACCTGACCCTACCCAGGGACCCGACCCCCTATTACCTGACCCTACCCAGGGACCCGACCCCCTATTACCAGACCCTACCCGGGTACATACTGTAGGTCTCAAGGGTAGGGTACAAAATGTCCGATTGGGAATTGTTTTACTGGAGCCTTTGCAAAATGTATTTAGGTACACATATAAAACAATCTTATCATGCAGACACTGAAGTTGACTGAAGCTTTATCTTTATTCAAACATATAAAAGTCAGCAGGGATGTGTGCATTGTCAGAAAGAAATGCGAATATTAGTGACTTGTAACCATGGAGTTATAGTGAATTTTTGTCATTAAACAATATATCCTGTGACTAACCACGGGTCCCACAAGATTCCCGGGTAGAATAGGTCTTCAGCAACCCAATTATTTAATAATTATTTTATCATTCTTGTATTACAGGGCATAGAAGTGTCTCCTCTGAATGAAGATAATGTATTTGAATGGGCAGCCAAGATCAAAGGTTTAAAGGACACCTTATGGGAAGGTATGCAATTTCGTGCAATTACAAGTGAGTAATTATTGTTTACCGGCAACCCCGCATCATCAATCTTGCTGTTGTTCAGGGCGACATTTACAAGTGCTAATTTATAAGTGCATAGTAAGCTATGTAATGTTTATAGCAATGCTAATGGTACAAGATTCACAAGTACACTCTCACTCAGTAGTATATTTCCTTTTATTAGGAGGAGTTTTTCGTCTCTACATCAAATTTGATGAGAACTACAACATCCGTCCACCACAAGTGTGTTTTCATACCATCCCATTCCATCCCAACAGTGAGTATCTTACTAAGCTCATGTAGCAAAATTCACCAAACAGTAATGTACTAGGGGTGGGCTGAAAAGATCTGAGCCTAACTATGATGGTCTGTGTTGATTGCGCTAATTATTTTTCAACATAGTCCTCTCCATGGTCCACACACTGAGATCCCACTGTTAACAGGACTAACACTGAGCAAGAGGCTTTTCTGCTGCATTTTATGTTTCTGAATTCCAGGCATTATTTTTTCCATTCATGGTCAGACCTTTCAGGAGTAGAATTCTTTAGAATGTCAGAAAGCTGGAGCCATTCTTCTTTAGAACAGACATTAGAAGTGTCCACTGCTTTGACTGTTGTTTTGTCTGACAGTGGTGAAGCCAAGACTCATCCATGGTTACAAATAGCTCCCCCAAATCAGCTGCGTCTGCTTCAGAACAGCGTAAATTCTCATGAGAGATGAAGTACCTGGAGCATTTCTGATCAGGAGTCAGAAGTCTTAGAAACCAGTATGCTGAAACCTTTGTCGTACCCAGACCATTCCTTAGAATGTCCTCAACTCTCTCATGATACATGCCTAGTGTATTGTCTGTATGACATGTGCATGCAAATCATCGATCATCCGTAATCATATCATGTATTTTGATAACATTTAATTTGGCAGTCTTGGATACTCTTCGAGGCTCTCTCTTCACCTCTTGAATTCTGCTGCGGATCTTTTAACAGTGGCAAAGGAAGGAGCATCAATGTCTAAAGTTGACAATGTCTGCTAGGCTGAATCCATTCAGTTGGAGATACTTGATAAAACAGCAGAGGCCAGTTTTGTCAACAGAGAATACCTAGTCACATTTTAATCCCTGCAGAAATATGCTGCCTGGAGATGTATTTGGTTCAAAGTATGGAAAGTGTTTTACTTTATACATGCAAACTGTTAAGGGTACACTGTACATCCTTCCTAGTTGGGCTCAGAACTATTCAGTCATCCCTCTTACATATCCAGATGAGTATATTGCTTGGAACTTTGTGATAATTGTCTGCCGATTTGTCATCCATCTGTCTGTCAGTCAGTCTCCGAATGTTTGACTTCTTCAGCAAAACACTGGTTGTTAGACCATTAGATCTACACACCTCAAGTCCAAACAAAGGACTTCTTGTGCACAAAACTGAATTGTCAAATATTGTGCATAATGCTTACGTAGACTTATGTGAGCATGATAAGAATGTCTACAGCAGCAGTGATAGCAGTAAATTTTGGGCAGGGATATTAGATATATATCAACACTGATGTTTTATGTAGTTTAATAGAGTCTTTCGGGCTTGTGTTGTATTTGGATCTGCTAATAATAACCTATGAGACCAATTTTATAACTGGGTCTATATATAATCTTTGTTCCAGTTGACATGATAACAGGCAGGCCTTGCATTGACTTCCTCGATAACTTTGAGAAGTGGAAGGAAGGGTACAGCATCACCATGACTTTATTGTCCATTCAGGTGAGCATATAGGTCCACCATGACTTTGTTGTCCATTCAGATTAGCGTACAGGTCCACCATGACTTTGTTGTCAATTCAGGTGAGTGTACAGGTCCACCATGACTTTGTTGTCCATTCAGATTAGTGTACAGGTCCACCATGACTTTGTTGTCCAGACAGATTAGCATACAGGTCCACCATGACTTTGTTGTCCAGACAGATTAGCATACAGGTCCACCATGACTTTGTTGTCCATTCAAGTTAGTGTACAGGTCCACCATGACTTTGTTGTCCATTCAGATTAGTGTACAGGTTCACCATGACTTTGTTGTCCATACAGGTTATCATACAGGTCCACCATGACTTTGTTGTCCAGACAGATTAGCATACAGGTCCACCATGACTTTGTTGTCCATTCAAGTTAGCGTACAGGTCCACCATGACTTTGTTGTCCATAGAGGTTAGCGTATAGGTCCACCATGACTTTGTTGTCCATTCAGGTTAGCATACAGGTCCACCATGACTTTGTTGTCCATAGAGGTTACTGTACCGGTCCACCATGACTTTGTTGTCCATTCAGGTTAGTGTACAGGTCCACTATGATTTTTTTGTACATTCAGGTTAGCGTACAGGTCCACCAAGGCTTTGTTGTCCATAGAGGTTAGCGTACAGGTCCACCAAGGCTTTGTTGTCCATAGAGGTTAGTGTACAGGTCCACCAAGGCTTTGTTGTCGATAGAGGTTAGTGTACCGGTCCACCATGACTTTGTTGTCCATTCAGGTTAGTGTGCCGGTCCACCATGACTTTGTTGTCCATAGAGGTTAGCATAAAGGTCCACCATGACTCACCGTGAATACTCACCGTCTTAGATCAAGTACAGTAAATCGCCCCAGTCCGGTTATTGTTCGTTTCACGTCGTTAGACTTGAAAATCAGGGCGATTGCGCTCCGTCCAAAGCTTAAAGAGAATGGTTACGGAATCGCAAATGACTTGACTATAGCTCAACGGAAGACGCTACAGGAGCTACGACGTAACAATAAGCGCGGATATTACAAGAAAGGGGTTCTTGTGGTTGAACATATGCAGACTACAGATAGACGTCATGAGTCTCCACCAGGCCACCCAGACACAGACCAGGCGACTTCAAAGACTCCGCCCAGGGCGGGTGTGCCAGCTAGTGTCCGAAACCCACAGAATGAAGATGATTTTCGCAGATAGGGGTGTGGCCAAGGCCGTAACTGTAACTCTAATACCAGACTAACCACTTCTTTTGTATTCTGGAACATTGCTGGACTACAATCGAAGCTCCACGATACTGACTTTATCTCATTCATACACCAATTTGATGTCATCAGTTTATGTGAAACATGGTCATCCCATAGTGATAGTCAACTATGTTTCCCCGGATATATTACTCACTCCATCCCAGCTGAGCAAATATCATTTTTTGGGCGACTGTCAGGTGGTCTGGTTGTTTTGATAAAACAACACCTAGTCCAATATGTGAAAGGTTGTGTGACCGGTCCCAACGGAATTTTCATCGTACTGGACAAGCGCTTATTTTGTTTGGGAAAGGACACCATTGTAGCTTGTGTATATGTCCATCCTGAGGGCTCAACCTGGTATAAATCGGCTACAACGAAGTGTGGTATAAGTTTATTCTTTGAATCACTACTTGACGTGTTACAAAGATTTGGAGACTGTAGTATTTTGATTGGTGGCGACCTTAACTCTAGAACTGGCACAGATCCCGACGGAATTGAATGTGACATTGCCGAAAGGCTTGGGATTGATGATTTTTCGGACATTTATGATAATATTGATATTAAGAGACATTCGTGTGATTCAAAAGTTAATAATTTTGGTAAAGTGCTATTGAATGTTTGTAGTGCTTTAAATTTATATATTTGTAATGGCCGATGTGGTTCGGACGCTGGGAAAGGAGACTTTACATTTATAAGTCATATTGGACAGAGTGTTGTTGATTATATCATAACAGGCCCTGACTTGTTTACATCATGTGACCGCTTCGATGTCCTATCTAGGTCAGATTCAGATCATCTGCCTGTTGCGTGTTCATTTGTGTCACGTGATATGGCTTCTGTGGGTGCTAGCTTATGTAATGCACGAGATGTGCGTGACAACTCCCGTTATGTGTGGAATGAAGATAAAGTGTCAACATTTAGAGATGTATTACTTTCTGACAAGTCAGCTTCAGTGTTTGATCAGTGTAATGAACATATTTTATCTGGAAAATTTGATGATGCTGTAACTTTATTCTCAGATTTATTAGGTAATGCAGCAGAATGTATGCGTAAGTTTTGCCCATCTGCTTGGTTAGTCGATAAGCAACCTTGGTTTGATAAAGAGTGTGAATTTCTTAGATTTGAAAAGCAAAGACTGCTTAAAGTTTATAGACTACTTGGGGATCATTTGGCACTTTCAAACTATCTACATGCAAGAAATAAATATACAAATATACTCCATAACAAAAGAAAAGCCTACCAAGATAAAATTCTTAGTAATATGGTGACAGGCATACACAACAGCAAAATATTTTGGTCACAATTGAAGCTACTCTCTGGTGAGGGAAGGAGACGCTCTCCTAATATAGAACTAGGAGATTGGTATCAGCACTTTAAGAACTTATTTGGTGAATACTCTTCTTCAGAGGTTGAGGAGAATTTAGTTTTTGACGATGTTAATTTTGACGAAACAACTCAGAGTATTCTTGATTCCCCTATTTCACAGGATGAAGTGCTTGATGCGATTACAGGATTGAAAAATAATAAAGCTGCGGGAGATGATGGACTGATAGCAGAAATGTTTAAGTCTTCTCCTGATGTTCTGGTTCCTTTTTTGACATTCTTCTTTAATGCTATATTTGATTCTGCATATTTTCCCTCATCTTGGGCTGTTGGCCACATTGTTCCTATATATAAGAAAGGCGATGCCAATTCTCCCACTAATTATAGGGGTATCACTATCTTAAGTGTATTCAGTAAACTTTATATTTCTATTTTAAACAGAAGACTTCAGTTTTGGTCGGAATCCTATGATAGACTAGTAGAGTCTCAGGCTGGTTTTAGGAGTGGATATTCCACAACTGATAATATTTTTGTTTTATATTCAGTAATAGAGAAATATTTGGCTAAGAAACGAGGTGTGATTTATGCCTTGTTTGTTGATTTTGCCAAAGCCTTTGATTCCATAGATAGATCCAAATTGCGTATGGTACTATACAAAAATGGTATTTCTCCGAAAATGTTCTGTTGTATACAGTCAATTTATAAACAAGTTTTGGCATTGGTCAAATACAATAACTCATTTTCTGATATGTTTAGCTGCAGTAAGGGAGTTCGTCAAGGATGTGTCCTTAGTCCCATTTTGTTTGCCTTGTTCATAAATGATCTTGCCATAGATATTGAATCCAGTTGCGCACATGGTACATGTATCCAATTTCATCCAGATGTAGTTCAATTGTTTTTATTACTTTTCGCAGATGATGTCATTCTCATAGCAGATACTGTTTATGGTCTCCAGAAAAGAATCAATGTGTTAGAATGTTATTGTAAAGATTATTCATTAACAGTCAATATTGATAAAACTAAAGTAGTAGTTTTTAAAAATGGGAGTGTTCTTTCAAAATATGAAAAATGGGTTTACGATGGAAAATTGTTGGAATGTGTAACTACATATAAATACCTTGGTGTATTATTTTTTCGAAATCTATCTTGGAGTGCACATATATCTAATGTTGTTAATCAAGCTAAAAAGGTTTTGTTTAAGCTTTTGAAGTCCCTACAGCTAATTAAACCTATTCCTATGAATATTTTCTTTAAAATTTTTGATGCTAAAGTTGTGCCAGTACTTCTTTACGGTGCAGAAGTTTGGGGTTTATCTTTATCGTTTTGCGAGGAGATTGAAGTTGTTCATACACTTGCTTGTAAACGTATTTTAGGAGTTAAGTCAGCAACTTCCAATCATGTTGTGCGTGGAGAGTGTGGGAGATACCCTTTGTATATCTATGCTTTCAAAAGATGCTTGAATTATTGGTGTAAGATTTTAAAGATGCCCGATTCGCGTTATCCACGAAAAAGTTACAATATGCTTGTGCAGCAGGCCATAGCAGGTAAGACTAATTGGGCCTCTAGAGTTAAATTACTTTTGTACGCCTATGGCTTTGGCTACGTATGGGAAAATCAGCATCTTGTTATTTCTATTTCATTTATTGATGAGTTCATACAAAGATTAAAATGCTCTTATGAACAAGATTGGCATTTTGCTTTGACCAATAGCCCCAAGTATTCATCATATCTTTGTTATAAATTTAGGTTTAGCAGGGAATTTTATTTATCGGCTATTACAATCAATAAGTTTCGCGTTGCACTGGCACGTTTTAGAGCTAGCTCCCACTCGCTCCACATAGAAACCGGGAGATATTTTGGTATCCCAAGACAGCGAAGGTTATGTATGGTTTGTAAAACAGGCTATGTTGAGTCTGAATACCATTTTGTATTGGTTTGTGAAAAATATTATGCCCTCCGAGTGACATATATTCCTCAAAAATATTATGTAAATCCATCAATAGAACAATTTTACATACTTATGTCGTCTCTGCATCAGTCAACAATTAGAAGTCTGGCTTGTTATATTTACCACGCTTTTAAGTTAAGGAATTCATTTTTGCAGAAGTAATATTCTTTATCTATGAATGCCTTGCTGTTGTGTATTTAGGTGTACACAGTTGTATTTTTATACATGTCTGGTGAACCGAATTGTACTATGGGCCGCTGGCCCACTCATGTACTGAATAAACAGATTAGACTTTGCTGTCCATAGAGGTTAGCGTTCAGGTCCACCATGACTTTGTTGTCAATAGAGGTTAGGGTACCGGTCCACCATGACTTTGTTGCGCATTCAGATGAGCGTACAGGTCCACCATGACTTTGTTGTCCATTCAGGTTAGTGTACAGGTTCACCATGACTTTGTTCTCCATAGAGGTTAGCGTACCAGTCC